TAACACAACAATTTATTGGTAAATGGTAAAAATATTAATAATTATATAGTATTTCACTTCCCATAAAGTAAACGTCATGTATGTCTGTTCTGCTATTATAAAAAGACCATTGAGAAGAATAAATTTACTAATTGAATTAGGGCCATTAAATGTGTGTTAAAGAATGAAGAAGAGTTACTTTAAGATCTTTGTAATTATATTAATCGTTCTTTTATAGTAATAGAGACATATAATATATATAATGAGGATAATATGGATATATATAAATATATAGGAATATCGAACAAAAACCGAACATCGAAAATGCATTACTATCGTATTGCAGTGAAAATAGCGCGGGGTTAATTAATTGTAAGGTTCTAGAATCGGTACTGTAAACCTAAGAACACACAGATAAAGATGGTATCAAAATATGATAAGGATTAAATATAAATCTTTACAACATGAATAATTCATTGCTATAATTGTTTTCGTTCCGTATATTTATTTATTAATGAAAATTGTAGAAATAATTACTTTTAGTAGTTACAATTATTGTATACGTACTGCAGAATCCATCTTTAATTCGAAAGAATCTAGGTTCAATTTCTTATGCTTTGCAGCTTAAGACCTTAAAACACTAGTAGTAAGTTTCAAATTACGCAAGAAACGCATTGTTTAATAGGTTTAAAAAGTTTTGACGTTTGTAGCTTAATTGGGTAAAGCAACAGCACGGAGCGCTGAGGATGACGGTTCAAATCCTGCCCGAGTTGTTTTTTTTTTAAATCTAAAATCGATTTTAATTTATATAGTGCCATAATGTGCCCAATATGTGCTAAACATGTGACAAATATTAAAGCTTTTAAATCTAGTTTTTACGATAAAAGATCATTCGATTCGAATATATTTCGACAGTGACTACAAAGCCTAACAGCGTAGGAGAAATAAAATGTATCTGCGGGCTGCCACGCTGTCTGCCTGAATGGGAAATGGTTTGTGGAGTAGGGGGGAGGACGTTATAAAGCAGTGCCGTAAAAGCCTCGCCCCCTACAAAAGCGCACGTTTTCACTACATTGCGTTTACGGTTCTTATTTTCAATGAATTCCAGTCGTTTCGATGACTTCGATACGGACATTTTTCACGTCGCCGCAGCGATGTGGATTACGAAGGAAATTCAGTTTCCAATTTTCACTAGGAATAGAAATCGTATAGGAATATTTTTTAGTATCATTGTATCGGCAAAGCTGTCTAGATGACGGTTTTGACGTAACTGACTGTCTATCGGGGTTACAAAAGTAAGTGTTAAATTGCGTTTATTTCTGTAATGATTTCACAACTAACCAGTCCAATCCGTTTTTTGTCTCTCCATGCTATTTTGGCAAACTTTTATTTTTTCTGTCATTGTCCAAGTTTGACAACCATAGGTCAAACATGGTTTTTCATTGGTATTTCTTTGGTCTTCATGATTTCGCTCAAAGACCAGAATCTTTTCCATATATTTGTTATTCGGCGGACATTTTTTCGGCGGTTTTAACTACGGCCCGTCGTAACGTCGAAACGTCGGGTTGTAGTTCAAATAATTTTTAAATAAATTCAACTTATATATATCGTGTTTTAAATCGTTAAAGTCTTTTATTTAAATGTGTACTAGTCGCGTAACCTACAAACAGTATTTATTCATGTATTTACGTTACTATTTTGCTATTAACTTTGCAGTAGACAACAAAAATATCTCGAGCCCAAAGTCCTTTTAATTTCCCCGGGGTGATATTGGAAGGTAAGTAAGGGGCGAATGCGTAATATATTTCCGGAACCGGATTTGTTTACGCTTCAAGTACTCAACCGCGTTGCCATGGCATCCGTCGGACTCTACTGTCACTGTTTACCACGTTCTTTTGAATATTAAAATCTTTTAGATCTCTTTAATTTAGCTTTAAGCTGTTCTCTATTAAACTGAAAAGGATCTCTCGTTTCTTGAAATACTTGTCGAGACATAATTGGACTTAGACGTTATAATATGTCACTACTCTTTCCCTCGTCGTCGTCCGCGTCCCGTCGTTCTTGCAAGTTCATCTTAAAAAAAATAGACATCGCTATCTTAAACTTTTTTGTAGATCATATAAAGAGAAATTATGTTTTTATACTTATATTTGGGTTTTTTACCCGTGTTCGCAGCGCAACGGAAGGTAACTATTTTTCTCCGCTTATTTCAACATTTTGCCTATTTCTCCGTCCCTATTAGTAGTGTAATGTTATATAGCCTTCCTTGATAAATAGTCTATCCTACCGAATTTTTCAATAATTCCTGTAATAAAAAATCACTCTAATAGTTCCTGAGATTAGCATTCAAAGAAATAAACTATTTAGCTGTATAATATTAGTATAGATTTATTCTAATACTACTTATCATTTATAATGAATTATGAAACACATCTATCTTAAAAGTAGTGCACAACAGCTGATATGAGACACGAAGACTTGTTCTAGTTCAATGACACGATGCAGTGGACCTAAACGTGCTATCGATTTTCTAATTTTCTAAAAGCAAAGCAAAATTAACTTACACCTAATTAAGTTAAAGCAGGCTATATTATTATATCATGTTTAACTGCACACGAACCTAGAAACCACAGAGTGTTTCAGTTTAAAAACATTTTTCAGTATTTCTCTTTTAACTAACACTTTGAAATGTCCCACATTTTTCAATGCGACTCTTTCTCACCATAAAGTAAGACGACATGAAAGCTTAAAGGATACAAAATGCAAGGTATAAATAGTCATTATAGTACTATAGTCATGGAGTCAACGATAAATATAATACAACAATTTTACTGTTATGTTTAACAACAAATTTTAATGTTATGTTTGTCAATTGTTACTGCTCTAATGTTCATGGAACATAATGTTATACTTATAATCTATAGTTTACGGAAGCAGTACACATTTTAATTAAAATATTCTTGACCGTTTAAAACACAAAATATATTCGATTCGGGCAGAACTTGAACCGGCATCGTCAGCGTTCCGTGCTGTTGCTCTACCAATTGAGCTACCGAGTCTTTATTAGTAGTTTTATTTAATTCAAAACAATACAGAAAATAATAACATATAACATTACGATATAAAAAAATCGCAACAGTTTAATTGCAAGCTAGAAACATTATTACACTTTTGCAAACTTTAAACTTCGAAACACATTCTGTTAAGGAATTTCCACAGTGTAATGCTTTACGCATAACGTCGAGTAAAGGTGGCACAGTAACCTTTTCTCTATCGCCTTTAATTAGGTTGGCTCGGATTAAAAATGCTCAGCAGCTCTCAATCTATTAGCAGGTCATGCGTCGCCTCCAGGCTGGTCGTATAATAGGAGTGCGGTTTTTTATGTCAGCTAGGGCTGTGCTATAATGACGGATGCGTCTTGTTAGTATGCCCTGATTGCTGTGTTCCAACATACGTGGTAATAATACAAAATATTAAAAAGTTGTCATTTATCACACTTAAATACTGTCTGTAGTTTACGCGAGTAGTACACACTTAAATAAAACACTAACCGTTTTTAAAACGCGATATATTTTAGTTAAACTTGTTAAAAAATTATTTTTAACTACGGCTCGTAAGTTTCTATGCTTTGCAGCAGCCGTGGTCACGGGGAGACTAAAGATGGAGGATGTCTCTGACGTCGAAGTAAAAATTGCTCCGCTAGCGCCATCTGTTCCGACGAAGTTGGTATTTGGCGAAACTACCCGGCTTTTTTTTAAACAAGTTTAACTAAAATATATCGCGTTTTAAACCCTTAAAGTGTTTTATTTAAATTTATCACACTTTTTGTATATTTAAAATTGTATTTAAGTAACATGTTTTAATAGACATTTGAAAGTAGAGTTTAGAGTGAAATTCACATTTTAAATAAATTGAATTTTAATTTATATATTTTTTAATATATCATATTTTTCGTAGTCGCTCTTACATCTTACGTCCGTCGATAATCTAAATTTAAAATTAAACAATTTTCAATTCAAAGTACACAGGTATTAAAAAACTATGAAAAAATGATATATAAAAGTTATATTTTTTTATAAGTTACTTATGTAATACTAATCAAATTAAAATATACTTTTGAAATTTATAATAAACAGTCAAATGATAAAAGTTTATAGCTGTTGTTTAGTTTTTATGCGGTAAAAATAATGCAGGAATAGACCAAATTCTCCGCAAAATTTCTTCTACTGATCTACGATTATTTACACGCATTCATCATACGTTTGCACTTTGAACGACTGTTTTTTTCCTGTTAATGACGATCTCTCGAGCCTAACGTAAAGCGATGAAATAGAGCCTCGGTACAGACGTTGAAATAATTGGACATTTTTTAACTTCCCTACTATATCATACATTTGTTTGTATTATAATCTATATTAAATCTATGGTAATATCAAAATATGTCCGAGTCACGAATAACCGTCTAGAGATGAAAAAGCCTTAAGTTTATTCGCGTTTTCGTTACAGTCTGTGAATTTTGAATGTGCAGCATTCATGCTTGTAATTAGGTAAACAAGGTAAAAAAGGTAAAACTGTCTGTAGTTTAGTAGTACACATTTAAACACTAAACACTTTAACGGTTTAAAACGTAAAAAAGTTAAAAATAAATTTTAAACAAGTTTAACTAAAATTATCGCGTTTTAAACCGTTAAAGTGTTTTACTTAAATAGGCAGATGTTGTTTTTTTAATTCTTCTATAATGCTGTGTCTATCTATAACATATAAATTTTTATATTAATTCTTCGTTTCGTATATCTTAACTCGATTAAACTAGATGCCAGGTTTGCACCCACGTCTAAGATCAATACCTACTTAATCAAGCTAAATGCTTTAGATAGAAGATGCATCAACACAAATAACAGTATACTCAACGATAAATCAAATCGTATCCAATATTGCTAATATAAGTAAACTTAACTATGTCTTTCTATTTCATTACAAAGATGTGATTTTTTGATATCTTGAAGGACTTATGGTAAACGATGATGAAAGTAGTAAGAATTCTTTTAAAACTGTGAAGCTTTGAATTTTTTCGTCGTGGTAAGGCACTTTACCTTTTTAATTGCAATATTTTACCCAGAATTAAAAAAAACACACCCTAGTTTTTACAACTCCTTCGTGGAAACGAGTCCAATCAGTCACGACAGGATAAAAATGACCAGTTTTCAAATATGACATTTTCGTATACAAATTGAAATTCGAGTTTTAAATTGAAAAAAATTTACGACACGGGCGGGACTTGAAGCGACATCCACAGCGTGTGTACAGAGCGCTGTGGATGCAGGTTCAAATTCCGCGTATCGTAAACTGTTTTCAATCTAAAAAAAACGATTTTATTTTTCATAATGACATCATGTGCATGTGTAAAATATTAGAATTCTCGTTAAACTAAAGTGTGACGCTTACACTAAACAACGATGTTGATGTATCGTTACAGGGGCTTAGGTCGAGCAAACCCCGCAGCTAGACTGCTAAAAGGATCTCCGCCCTTTTAAGTTTCAAAGAACCCTACTTTAAAATGAATAGTTTTTACACGTACAAAAGTACGCCATCGCGCTGTCAAACTGCCACAGATACAAAACACAATTTATTGAGAGATATATTTTAACCGTGATTTAAATTTAGAATTTCCGAATGTTTGCGAGTTGGTATTATGTTACTGACGTTTTTGTTAAATAATTCCTCCTTGACTTTTTTCCCCGGAAATTATAACGAAATGTCAAAATCACTCTTCTGTATAGATTGTTCCCGGGACTTCATTCATTTTTATCTAAAAAGAATCTTTAGTTAGTTAATTACTTTTAAGTCATAGTTTGATTATTTATATGTTTTTAAAAATCATTCGACTTAATTCTTAATTTTATCCATAACAAAAGCGTACCCTCTTTTGTCCACTATAAATATTATCCACCACGCTTTGCTGTAAAATGTAACGTCAAAGGCTCGAACAACAATTACTCTATAATTACAGTGTGGTCTCTTTGTTCTTATGCGTGTATATTTTATGCATCTCTTCTACCTTTTGAAAATATCACTTTGCAGAATCAAAGGTGTCCTTACCAACGTTTCGAAAATAACTGTTCAATGGAAACAATACTAAATTTTAGAATATGTACGTTTAGTATTTCGCGAACCTCTTTTACAATTGTTGACTTCTGTCTCACCAATATTTTTTTTCGCATCTACGCAATAATGCAATGGACATGAAGTCGATATAAACTACGTAGTATTAAGTAAATTAAACCCTCATTCCTCGATACAAATAATATTTTATTGGATGGCTAATTTTGATTCTTGTTTCAGATTTTCGACGACCACTTCCACTTTCATCACAATTCAGTGGCGCGGAGATCGCTATCACCAGATCCCGACCATCACGGGCGACTGCAGACAGACTCAAGAGTACGATGGGCGAGACAGCAAAGAGTACTGTCGAGGAAGAAAAGAGATCTTATCACTATACCAGAGAGCTTTTCTACAGGTAAGCTTAGAAGTTTAATATGGACGGTGATGTGAGAATTAGAAAAAAAAAAAGTATACAAATAAGAGTGGGGTTCTCTTGATGGTAGGTGGAATACCTCGGCCTCATAAGATGCTGTCGACTTATTTTGGGTCGGGTTCCTATCACCCATTTAACATTCAGACGAAGAAAAATAATAAGAGACATGTTGGACCTAGTCTAGATCGAATCCGCGAGCTGGTAATATATGACTATTAACATTGCTATCATTAGACTGGCGAACCCGCGGAAAATTACATAATAGAGTTTTTTGAAAAATTTAATATTTTTTATATGTACATGAAGGCACTATATAATTTAAAAATCCGTTGAGGACGCTGACGATGCCGGTTCAAGTCCTGCCCGAGGCGAGAATTTTTTCGATTTTTAAATTAAATAATGGAGATGTGAAAGACGGGTATCTTTATTTATTTACATCACGGCGTAGTAGAGACTCGGATTATACTTACAAAATACATTAACTTTATGTTAATGAAATTTATAAAAAATAAAAAAAACTACGGAAGCATTCCAAAATGAAAGCTTAACAGCGTTGTCGCGCTTAAAGCCTATATTATTCTAATCCATTCAAATTGCGGACTCCGAAACACTTAAGAGCTTTTATTTCAAACAGTCTTGTCAAAGTAATCCCGTTCTACTTAACAAATCTGTAAAATATTCAGTGTTTTTATTTCTTGTTTTTATACCTGACGACGATCAATTTAAAAGGCCGGGAACTTATTCTATTACATAAGTATTTATGTTTTAAATACTAGTCGATATGAATGCGCGAGCCGTAAAGCATAATGGTCACCATTCCTGATGAAATGATTCGACATTTTGCCATCAGGAGTCGATGACATCTATTAATGCCAAAACACCGAATTATTTCTCAGTTCCCACGGCCGAATAGCTTGAAAATTAATGTAGGTTTATAGCAACTAGTTCGAGCCATTGTTGTTATAGCTTAAGTGTTATAAGCTCCCAGAAATTCAGCTTATATCTGAACCTTTTTGGAACTCGTTGTGCTCATTAACCTATTTAAGATATGAGTGATGTGTGCTTAAAGCTTTCAAGTTTAATTAGGAGACGAGAGAACACAAACTTTATTACAAATTGCAAAAACTCATTCAACTTTTCTATACTGCATAATTTGCGCAAATATTCTGCATACTGTTTCCTGGCTAATTAGACTTAATTATAAGACTTTATACTGTGGTAATAAAAACAGAAAATTTAGCTTGCAAATCTGTGGACGAAACTGTGGCTTTGGATATTCGGAAAGCCACAGACTGAAATCGAAATGCGATTAAGCTTTTACATCTGTGAGCGGTGGTTATTGGTAGCGGAATTTTAATATTCCTACCGATTATGTAACATCCAGATTTCCAAACGAGTCTAATATGTTCCAGAAAGATTATGAATGATTAGAAAAATGTTGGAGGCGGTGAGGATCGAACCGCCGACCCGTTGATTGTTAGCCATGCATTGATATTATTACAGGAACGAACTTGTCAAATTTAAAACAATTCAATTCTTAAATTGATACATACTAATGACACAAATATCATTGCTCAACCATTGAGCTAGCGTAACTAACACTCATTTACATAAATTGTCATGTTCAATCTAGATTCATATTCTATCATAGCAGTGTACGGCTAATAATCGAGGGGTTCGATATTCACCAATTCCAACATTTTTCTAATCTATTTATAATTTATCTGAAACAACTTCGTCTGGAAATCTGGATACCAAATGGGTGTTAGGAATATCGAAATTCCGTCCGGGTCACGAACCGCCGTCCAGAGATAAAAAAGCCGTGAAGGTTAATCACGTTTCGGTCAGTCTAAGCAAAAATAGGTCATTAGCGCAACTTGTTTAGATGCTATAGGCTAGGTATTTCATTGCCTCCATGTTTGTCTGTCCTCCTCTATAATTAAAAAACGCAGTTACATATATACATAGTTCACAGCGTAAAACATCACGTCACCTAGGGCTAATGCCTTCTGTTGAATCCGAAATATAAATGTTGAAAGTGTTTTAAACATCAGAACAGTTAAGCAGAGAACACAAATAGGTAAATAGCCGGTTGACCTAGATACCCTGACTTCGTAACTTGGCTGAAGTTCAAGACCAACAGCTTTTGTTCCGTTTCATTGGGAATTCTTTGTCACTGAAGATTAGTTTTATACTCGAGGAGGTTTCGAGTGTTTATACTACGCATCAGTAGTTGGAAACTCATTTGTGACGGTTGAAATTTTATGTTCATTTCTTTGCTTTTCATTCGAATGTTCCAGACAATAAAGTCGTATTTTAGTTGAAAGAAATGCTACGATTTAAATAAAACACTGTTACGATTTAAAACGGGATATATATTAGATAAACGACCCGACGTTATAAAAAAGTTTAACTTATATATATCGTGTTTTTAAGCGTTAAAGTGTTTTATTTAAATTTGTGCAGCACGCGTGAACTTTATTGCAAAGCATTTTTCACAGCAAAAAATTCACTTCACACGCAATGTAATTTCAATCTTAACACTTGAAAATTAAGTTTCAATGCCTTATGCTTTGCACCTTAACTAAATGTATGTGTGATTGATGTTGGATTTTCTTCTACAGCTGATCCACAAACATCAGACGCCCCATCTCCTTCTTCTGCTTCGAAAAGAGAGACGAGCTCCAAAAGGGAATTCCACACAAGAGTAAAGGGTCGACCACGCTCCACAGACATGAGATTCGTTTTGAACGACCCCAAATGGCCACATATGTGGTATCTGGTAAGGTTTTAAATGTATTATTGATGGTATTGTGTAACTAACGATTTAGAGTCAAAGCAACGGCTTAAAAGGTGGGTAACATTAAAAAAAACTTAGTATGTTTTTAAAATGTTCGTATTCGTCGAAGTCAATTCTTCAATTATTAAAAACTAGCTGCCTCAGCGTAGAATAATTATTTTAGGCATCAAATTGTTTTTGCAAACTTCCTCCTCACTTCAAATTATAGAAGCTACCCACGACGTTATCCGCGGCTCGTCATATTAAGTTAGTCTGATAAGACAGACATTTTTAGATCGTTTAAAGAGAAGTCATTTTTTCATAATTCATCTTTTTATTAGGTATCTTGAACCGTATAGTAGGGCACGCAACGTAAATCCATAAAATTGTATTTCCCACGTTTCCCACGGTTTTTTAGTCGCAGCGCGATGTTTTATAGCCTAAAATCTTTTTTGACAACGATTTTTTAAATATTTTATTTTGAACCAATAGTTCCTGAGATTAACGCGTTCAAACAAACAAACCCTTCAGCTTTATGATATTAGTATAGATATATAAATATTTTACTTCCCACTCGAACTTAGGTTTCGTTCACGATTAACACTAGCTTTTAAAATTTAGTCGTACTCTTACAATATTACTTAATGGTTCAAAGTTACACTCTACAGGTATCCCAAAAATATTGATAATACAAGTAGTAATCAAAACTCCTAATGAATAGCAATAGTTTTAATCTATTTTACATTTTCCGCTATCACGTTATTGTAACTGCCATACTAAAAAATGATTGTCATTTTACATTACGTTCCCAGTTGCAAAGGCTTCCCAGCGAAGTCTAACAATATAGGCATTGCATAGTACAAAACATAGACTACCTACTACATAGCAAACGCTCTCAGTGATTAGTACCATATGTATCACATATTCGAGTTTGCTTGTAAAAGGCAATTTTCCAACTCATTACCTACCTGTTTTCTCGTAATGAACATCTCATCTCCGACCTTTGCCTCCAATTACTAAATGCTCACGTTACATCCACTTAGATCTTCGATTAATGTATAATTAATTGAGACAAACGCCCACGATGCTAATAATATTTCCTTTTGACGACGTGAAATTTAATTTTCATTAGGATGTCCTGTGTGAGTAATTGATCATGCGCTGTTAGATAGCGCTTTAAATTCATTTTACATTTATTGTTCATAAAATAATTAACATACATATCTTATTTAAATAAAAAACTTTAACTGTTTAAAACGCGATATATTTTAGTTAAACTTGCTGGAAAATTTGTTTTAACTACCTCTCTCTCTCTCTCTCCATGGTCTACCGTGGTTTCCCCGTGACCACGGATGCTGCAAAGCATCTGAAACATCGAGCCATAGTTAAAATTATTTTTCAAACAAGTTTAACTAAAATATATCGCGTTTTAAACCATTAAAGTCTTTTATTTCAATGTGTACTACTCGTGTAATTTTATTGAAGAAAATCTATATGAAAAATTTTCGTAATTGCAAAATAATGTTTCATTTCCTTTTACATAATCCATTACAAAATTACACAGAAATTAAATGATAAAACCAATACGAAGTACGAAAAATATAGCACACCCATTATTAAAATTCACTATTAACATTGTTTAGGGGAGTATACATATACTAGTATTCATATGTAACAAAAAAAGAATAAGTAAAAATTTAAATATTTTGTTAATTCAAATTAAAAGCCAAACGATGACCTTAACGTACACAAACATTCACATAACACCGGAAAATTGCAAGTATTGCGTGTCCATTTTGGTCTGGGTCACTATGCAAAATAACCCTCTTTCGTTACAAGCCCATTAGACGAATGGGATCAAGCCTAAGCCCATTGATTTTTATCACAATAGCTTCCATAAAACGACGACACTTTGCTTTCAGAACCGAGGTGGTGGGCTGGACATGAACGTGATTCCAGCATGGCGGGAGGGCGTCACAGGCCGTGGCGTAGTTGTCACTATATTGGATGACGGCTTGGAAACTGATCACCCGGACTTAGTATCTAATTATGTAAGTAAATATCATCGCTGTTAGACTGACTTATTAGTATTCAGTTATTCATTAGCAACTCAATACGCGTATATACTATACATTTATGTAAGATTGTTCGATAATAAAATTATTGTAACTGCAGTGGAAGTAACTAAATACGATTAGAAGTAATATATTTAAATTATATATAAGGCCGCTAGAGGCAGAGTAGTCTAACCGCAATTTTATAAATCGAGTTAATATGTTTTCATAGTCTAAAAATCTACAAGAGCACAATGACCTAAAATTTTTACACAAATAATAGTACACATTCATTTTCGGCTAAGCTGATTGCTTATTTTTATTTTTCTCCTTATTGAAAGTCATGTTCTTTGTTGGCCACTCGGCCTCTAGCGACATAAGTTTTTTGCTTTTTGATTGATCTGACTAGACTTTTATGCCCTGCTTGACCGAAACAATATATCAACCTGAGTCTTATCGAACATAAAAAAATGCTAGACATTGCGTTAAACGTATGAGTCACAATAATTTTTTAATATATAATTTAAATAAAACACTTTAACGATTTAAAACGCGTTATATTAGTTAAACTTATTTGAAAATGATTTTTAACTTCGGCCCGACGTTTCATATGCTTTGGAGCAGCCGTGGTCACGGGTAGAACTATAGACAGTATTTACCATTCGGATAATCATAAAAAAAACAAATGGAATTGAACATCTTTTTTTTTAATACAATAAATTCTTCTTGACTTTTCTCTAAACATTTCTATCGATAGTATTTGATGTGAAACGATTTATTCAATTTATTGGTCCTGACATGTGTTTTCGTCAAAGCCGCATTTATCGAACAGCACTGACACATCTGTCATAGCATAGATACAAAGGACAGGACACAAGGCCGCTATCGTTATTGCGTTAAAACCGTGCTACGCTTTTGCTACGCCGTAGCAACCGAGCAATTATTTCATCTACGTTCAGCCATATTTCTATTTTCAATTCGTTAACAACGCTATATTTTAAATTCACTTTTAAATGCCTTTTGTATAAACTAATTGTTCGTTGTTATGTAGTTTACAACAAAGAGGGAATTTCACTTTTTAAGGTAGATTTAATAAAACTAGTTTAAAATTCATATTACAAAATTACGTTTGATCTCAATTATAATATCAGTCTAACAAACATTTTCGTCCATATTATCGGCAAAGCAGACAAGATATAAGACCTCGTAAGCGATGGTTTCCGGTATTAAATTTGATATTCAGCGTGTAAATGATCGCCTTTATCATCGGCCGTCATGAATATTCTCATGTGAACTGGAATATATTTTCGTGGCAGAGAGATATGCGATTTCGTACTGGCAAACTTCTGAATTACATCGATTTATCCTCAAAGCATTATTTAATATTGACTTTAAACCTCTGTGGAGTTTAAATTAAGAACATTCGCATTATGCGTTTTTTTTTTTAAATAGTTATATAAAACCACTGTAAGTTGAAAAATGGTACCATGCCTTGTCTCCAATCCTTTTCGGCATGCACCTTAAGCAAATAGATAATGTAACTTTGACACTAAGACATACATAATAATTAATTAAATTAATTAGGAACTTATTTAAAATATATATTAGCTCTTTGTAGAGCTCTCGCATACCATAATGGTATAGTAGTAATCTCTCTGTTATTAAAGCACTATTATACGTTAACAATGTGTGTGCTTTTGGATTACTGTTAAGCCTTCTAATCTCACATGTATACTATCACAGTGTAGAAATACAATCAACTGTATTAAACACTTTATGATATAAAAAATAGACGTTAAAAAGACACCGAAACGTGTTTGCCCTGTGGGGAAACAACGAAATGTAACTTACTTTTTAATATAATTTAAGGAGTGTAGATTCTCCTAGTCTTCTTGATTCGAAACGGTTTTTTAATAGATAGGTAATATAAGTTGCAGTATAAAAGTTACAACATTTTCCCATATCTACAGGACCCAATGGCGTCTTACGACGTAAACTCCCATGACTCAGACCCTCAGCCGCGCTACGACATGATTGATTCAAATCGTCATGGGACGAGGTGTGCCGGTGAAGTTGCCGCTACTGCCAACAATACACTGTGCGCAGTTGGCGTTGCATACGATGCGAGTGTTGGTGGTAAGTTAATATACTTAAATAATCTTTACTTTACTGTTTATTTCTTTCTATGAGATCTATAAATATTAAATTTGGATAAACAAGACTAAAAATGTTTGATGGTCGACGCATTTGTTTTTTTTTCGATGACAGAAAATATTACTATTATTTTGTAATGCCTCGAAGAACATTCACTCATTGCTGATAACCAAAACCTTTTCTAAGTCAAACTATTAATAAGTTTATTATGTTTTGCCTTATTTAGGATATTCTTACTTATTATCAATGTTTAAGGCGAATATTATATACTTCTTATATTGCATATATAATCAGGTTTTTAAACGAAATTAATGACCAGCAAATGATATTAATTCTAATCTCTCGTTTAAAGTTTAAAGATAGCTTACTCTGTGTTTACATTAACCCAATTAACATGATTCATTGATCACACAAATTACATAAAAAGAAACACATACTCATTATAATTTACAGTATATATTTACAATATCTTTAATATTAGTTATTAGAATTTTAAAATCTAAATTTTTAAATATGTTTTTAAACTATTAAACGGACTATTATTATTATATATTCCAGCAATTGAGCTTCGTACTTGTTTAGTTTATAAAAAAAAAACAACTGAAATTTCACATCCTGCACGTTGCACCACCAACGTCTCCTACATGTTTATTAATTTATGATAATACGATTTTAACGCCGCAGTTATTCCGGGATCGTCTCAAATTATGCAAATTAATTCTGCCGTTTTGAGATGAGAGTACTAAACATTTATAAACAGCTTCTTAAAGGGTTATCGCGGTTTTGGAATCGCTAATCAATTATTATTATATTGCTAATTGTTTCAATAAAACACTTAAACGGTTTTAAACGCGATATATATTAGTTAAACTGTGCTGTACTGTGCTTTGCAGCCGCCGATTCTCCCCGCGACCACGACTGCTGCAAAGTATCCGACACATCGGGCTGTAGTGTTTTATTCCGTAAAAGTGTTTTATTAAAATGTGTACTCGCGTAAACTACAGACAGTGTTGCTAATTGTGTCTAATTTAGTACGCTCTATTTATAACCTTTAATTAACGTAGTATAATTGATTTCTGTGTTTGAAATTAATTCGGGTTAACATTAATTATCTCATAAGATACAGACTGTTATTATGTGTGCTGTTTATTAGTATAACTAACTGTTCCGGCAAATGTTGTGCTTTTGACTGCAAGATTAATATTACTATGTTGATACAACTCTAAAAAATAATTGGTTCTAATGCATTAATCGCCTCATGCCCCACGAGGGGATACGGGATTTCGCCCACACAAGTGGTTATTAGACGATTCCTTAAGCTAAATGTTTATTGTGTTCCCAGGATACGATCCCAAGTCGACTGTAGCATTAAACCATATTTTAACCATCGAGCCACATTATTGAAGGTTTATCTAGATTATTTTGTAATGACGTGTTCAATACGAAATTGTTATCGTAGCATTTATTTGCTCGGGACCAATAATGGCATCTCGAACGTCTTTGACCGCACTATTACGCAAAAAGGTTAAGCTTACACAATAGACAATATTATGGAAACCTCTTTTAACCCTCGATTTCTATGGCAACGATAAGGCTTCAAGAAAGTAATTGATTCATACCCTTTTAATGGTTATGAAATTGCAACTTTGCATATTACGCTCTTGATTTCTTTTAAAGAATCTTCAATATATAATACACTAGCTGTGGTCGCGAGTTCGTGTGCGTGGAATAGTTCTTTTGGGCATCATATTATTTATGTTTGTAAACTACCTCAACAGCCTTATAAATTATAGCTTTTACCCACGACGCGGACCGCGTCCCATCGTTCTTGCGAGTTAATCTTAAAAGATATACTGTCGCATTTTTTTAAATCATTGTAAGAAGAATCATTTCCAAACATTCTTTTTTGTTTCTTGAACCTTTTTCACACTAATAGTTTTCCTCGTATATTCCACATTTCCCTCTGTTTCTTTGATAGTTTATAAGCTAATGCTTTCCTCGATAAACGATCCAACCGATACAAAGCAAATTTTTCAATTCGGACCAGTATTTTCTGAGATTAACGCGTACAAACAAACAAACTCTTTAGCTTTATAATATTAGGCTAGATAAACAATTTCCATGTTAATACTGTATTGAGAGATCGACAATATATTTTGAAAATAAAAGATGGTCTTTTATATGAGATTTATTTCTAGATCGAGTTGTTTTAAAAAATCATTGTATTTCATATCGCAATAGCGAAGCACAAACTTATGCCTAACTATATATATAATAATAATAATAATATAATACTGTAATTTTGATGCATATCATTGTTTTTCATGGTCTAGTTGTGTAAGTTATTGTAAAACCTCAAATTTTATCTGTGAAACTATTTAAGGGAATATCTGTACTCTATATATATATTTAATTCCTTATAATATGACTCTGTGATATTTCTGTTTGTTTCCTGTTTTCGTAAATAAATAAATAAATAAATATATATAATATAGTTAACTGCTGACTTTTTTACACGCAATAGTAAAGATTACAGTATTTTTTTATTTATTGGGTTATCGTCTCGTTATTATTAAATTGCGTAGTACAATCCCACGTTTTAAATATAATTTTATTTTTAAAGTCTAGCTCTAAAAATTTTTATATTCTAAATACACTAAGAATTTTCTAGTAATTGCATACAAACGAAGATAAAACTTGTTCTTAATATTGTATAATATTACGTAATTGAGCATTTAATTGTGTCATTGTCCATTCAAATGCAGTACAATCTACATAATTAGATTCAGGCCAATAAAGACGTTTGGAAATGGACCAAATGTATAGTACTTGAATTAAGTTTATTACACCAAGCAACATGAACCATACTTCCTAGATTCTTTTATTTAATGGTATTGTCTATGATTTACGTGAGTAGTACAAAGTTATATGAAACACTTTAAACGGTTAATTAGGCGAAATATTTTATTCAACTTATCTACACTTTGTTGTTACTACAGCCCACGTTCCCGACCAACAAACTACGACAAAACAGATGGCGCTAGTGTAGCAGTTTGACTTTGATCTTTATCCCGTGACCACGGCTACTGTAAATCCAAAGCGTCGGGCCGTAGTTAAAATAAATACTAAATAAGTTAACTAATAAATGTCGGGTTTTATACCGTTAAGTATTTTGTATAACTGCATAATGCCTAGCTGCTTGCTATTTCTTAACAGTGTATACTAAAATTACACAAGACAAAGCTGTTCAAATATCCATATTTAGGGTCTTATTGGTCTCGAAATAAGTAAGGTGGATCCTCACATGAACACCGAAATGCTACGTGGTCTGTGTGCCCTCTTAGGGGCCCAGCTGTGGAAACTGTTCAGTGACTGATGTGAAGGACATACATATCTAATAAATATACTTATTGCCAATTACCAAAGATATTTAACGAACAGAAACAAAGATATTACGAAAATTTCCATAAATATAATTAATGCAATACTTTATTTAAAACAACGAATATTATTTCTTTATTCGAGAGCCTCGTTAAGACCCCTAACGAAATATAAGGACGAACCCTTTAAATGTTTCGAATTTTAATCACAGAATAACCATTTTAACAAGTCAAAGTCTGTAAAATCTTATCGAGGTATTAAATGATCAATTATCGCATTCCTTAATACCAGGTAAAATGTATTTATAGATTCATTAAGAGCTCTTGATTGAATTTATAATTAATTGAACGCCTTGTTTAAAAAATAAAAGTTTATAAGACGTTGTCACTGGCTCGGTGGTGGTAGTGTTAAATATTTTGGTCGTATTTTTTATAGGTGTAAGAATGTTAGACGGTGACGTCACGGATGCAGTCGAAGCGAGATCGCTGAGCCTCAATCCTCAACATGTCGATATATACAGTGCGTCATGGGGACCAGATGATGATGGAAAAACTGTCGATGGTCCCGGAGAGTTGGCAACTAGAGCTTTCATCGAAGGTGTTACTAAAGTGAGTTGCTAAGGTTATATGTTTAAATAAAACACTTTCACGGTTTAAAACGCGATATATTAGTTAAACTTATTTGAAAATGATTTTTAACTGGTTATATTCAATAACTTTAACAATAAAGTTTTATTAAATATTTGTTAAAATTAAGGATTTTCAAATACCGTAATATCAACTTCATTATAGCGAGGCGTCTTAAAACTAATTAATAGTGCTACGTCTTCCGTAGCGGTGCTACGAAATTTCATCTCATACGCTCGTTCGCTTTAAAAGCTAAACCCTCACTAAAAGTCAAAGTAATATAATATACATATAGCGTATACTTTAAAATATTGTATCAGTATAATCGCAATTCCTGTAAGGACTCATGAGTCCAAGACTCAAGTCAATTCTCTTAAAATAATATAACAATAAAATTATTCATAACTAACTGTGCCCGCGACTTCGTCCGCGTGGATTAGTGATTTGGGATAGATTTTTTAATTATTTAGGCTGTTTATTAATTTATGTAAGGGCGGAGTCAATCTATGTTGTAAGTGCCGCAAGACTCTCACCTCATATCGCTCCTACGCTAACTCCCACTCACATTCCTACACTCACTGACGCTCTCACTCTCACTCCCCCTCCGATTCCCACTCCTATTCCAAAAAAGACAAAGAATAAAGTTTTATTGTTCTAGCTTCAAAAACCGCATATTTCCATACAAACTTTCAACCCCTTTTTCTACCCCTATCAACCCTTTTTTTTAGCCTATGTCCTTTCTCGGGCTCCATAATATCTGTGTACCAAAATAATAACTTCATTAGTTTCGGAGTTATAGCCAGATAGACAGACAGAGTTACTTTCGCATTTATACTATTAGTACAGAAAATTTATCGTTACAAAGTATTAATAAGCCCTTTACAGAACCACTTCTCTATTCACATTTAATGAAATATCACAGCTGTTTTAAATTCGCAACTTGAATTTAAAGCCCTCTTTTGCTATACGAAATTGAGAGCTATTGAGTCGAAATAAAGTTGGTTTTACTTTATTTTTTGATAGCAATTTAGTAACCATAGAGTCGACTCGGCAGTTACCGAGGCGGGAATAATTTCTTTAATGATGCAACTATTTTCACTAACAACATCCCATACTGTATGGTCAAGATGATATAAAATTTACATAATAGGAGCGTTCATTTCAACGTCGTCTACCCGAGTCCCGACTGAGGATTTATCTTGTATATGATGGTAGCCATTTTATTAGTTCCCCGAAGTAAATATATTCTTAACAAAAGCAATTTTCTCGGATTACGGGCATTATTTTTCATTATTTTGTCACTGAATAGTGTCTTAGAATTTATCTGGTACCATCGAGTTATATGTACGTAAATAATCTCGACATTGTTGGGATTGTGAAACAAAAAAGTTTATAAAATACCTAACCCGTGGAATAAGCTAATGTACAGATGATAAAGTGGATGTACGTAGTGTGTTAAAGTACTTGATCAGATTTCTCTCCTGTCCAACAGAAGTCTATTTAAGAATCTCCAGGATTCAAACCCCGGACCATTGACGCTTAATGCTAATCCAGGCAAGCACGTAACTGGTCACATTCTATTTAAGCGTTAAGTACTGATCAAAACCCATTGAATTTATACTAAAACGAGTTGCAAATTATGTCAACACTAATAATAAATCTCATTAATATGTAATAACAGTAATCACATTATTCCGTAGCTGAATGGATTAATTCCTTAATGACTTACTTCGTTATTTCCCTGTTTTATTCATTTATGTTAGTTGATAAGTTTACGCCTGTGACTTTGGCTGATAAAATATTAAAATAGAGAAATCTTTTTTGCATTGTGTTGCTGTACCTTTTTTAACACTTATTGATTATTTTATGAAATGAATTAACTAAAACATTTCTATTGCTTTATTAATATAGAATAAATTTTTAACATGATGGAGCACGTAACATCCATTGCAATGTAATCTATCCTGTGTTGTAAACAACGTCGAAATTTGAATACATAAATTATTAAATCGAAAGTTATTTAATTTATCTTAAATATCCTTGCAAGCACCGATCCATCTTTTTAATTGCCTTCATTAACTTTCCCTGCAAGGGTCTTCTATCTTGGTGATCCACTACGGCTATGCGGATTAAGAAACGTGGTACATACGTTGTGATGCTTAATTTTGAATTACATAGGAGCTTAACTAAGATTATAAAATAAGCGTTGTTATTCATAATATGTCTTTTACAATTAAATCAGTGTGATTACGTAATTAAAATATACAAAATTATAAAATCTACGACAAAGTCTACGCGAAATTTAAACCCACGGCACGGTAGGTACGCTGTTGTCAGTAGGTTCGTCTCCCGCCTGTGTAGAAAATTTAATATTTTTTATATTATGCGTTATTTCTAAAATAAGGACTATATAACATTTATAACTAACTAAGGCCCAACGAACTGATCATATTCGAATATATCTCAGCACTCTAGACTAACAAACCTCATTTTTTTCATAGGGTCGTAATGGCAAAGGCTCAATATTCGTGTGGGCATCGGGAAATGGTGGTCGAGAACATGATAACTGTAATTGTGATGGCTACACCAATTCCATCTGGACGCTGTCAATTTCATCAGCTACGGAGCGGGGTGAAGTGCCCTGGTATTCCGAGATGTGCAGTTCCACTCTCGCTGCGACCTATAGCAGCGGCGCTGTTCTTGAAAAACAGGTAAAATTTTCTCTTAATCCTGGAAAAGGTAAATTTTCTTGTAGTTTAGATACTAATAATTATATTAGACATTTGGCAGATATGGTTGATACAATATCGATCGGTCGATTCAGCCGTTCAGTGTCCACTGCTGGGCATAGGCCTCCCCCATAGACTTCCAGTACGACCGGAAATGATACAATATACATGCTTTGAAATACATAGACAATTACACAATACTTTTATGTAATAAAAGTTACCTACGTGTTATGAAGAAGTAGTAAGTTTTTCATAACACTTAGGTAACGTTAATAAATAGATATAAAAAATAGTAATTTTGTATGGAAAAAATTCAACATTAACTATTGCTGACTTGACTGAAACCTGAAAAAATATTTTTTCAAGTATCAGCCAAGTTTAATATCTTCAAAATTACTCAAAGTAACTCAAACTCAAAGTAACTCGATTCTACCACAGAAGTATTATTACTGAACTTTGTACATTTTTTATAATAATTCCACTTTTATTTAAATTAAAGAAAATATTTAATTCACTATACACGTTTATTAGTTAACTTTCGTTTAACCACAAGAAAGCTCTTTAACAGTTTAAAACGCGATATATTTTAATTAAATTTGTTTGACAATTATTTTTAACTACGGCCCGAAGTTTCGGATGCTTTGCAGCAACCGTGGTCCCGGGGAGACATCCCCGTGTCTCCCGTGACGTTAAAAATAATTTTCAAACAAGTTTAATTAAGATATATTGCGTTTTAAACCGTTAAAGTGTTTTATTTAAATGTATACTACTCGCGTAAACTACAGACAGTACACAATAAAGCTTTTCACTTTTCAGTAATGCAGCAAAGAACAGTAGGATGAAAATGATTCTTAAAACCTTACAACGCGAATCGCTTGCTATCTGCACAGTTGATTTACCGACATATTGTCACATGCTTTGAAATAGCTTTAAACTTTGAAATGTGACATTTACCAGCTTAAATATAACTTTGACAATTTTTATTACATTGCTGTCACACATTCTTTGTCGCACAACTGTAGTATTTCATTGTGACAGCCGCAGATTGCGAACTTTGTGACAATGTTAAACAACTGGAAACCGTATTGATGATAAACAACCAAATAACGATTCAAAGTTAATGTACAATTTAAGCCAAATACGATCGCGGATCAATGTGAAATTGTATAATTTTTGCTCTACAAAATGTATAAAATGCAGAAATAACTTATTATTTTTTACTTAACTAGTGTTTCATTAAAATATTGGTTCTTTTAACAGATAAAACTTATCCGTGATGGCTCGTGTATTTGTGTGTTAAGAAGCTGTTAGTTACAACAACACGAACGCTTTAATGCGAACGAAGCATAACTCTGTACAAAATCCAACAGTATATCTAGTGTTATTTTAGACAATATTTTAAGCACTAAACAGACCAAACATGAGAAAAATATTACCCGGTGTTATTTTTGGTATCACAATGGCTTGTAATCTTAACATTATTTTGCGTATATCTATTCATTAGGTGGTTACTACAGACCTACATCACTCGTGTACAACAAGTCATACAGGAACTTCTGCGTCGGCGCCGCTTGCCGCGGGTATATGTGCTCTGGCTCTACAAGCTAACAAGGAGCTTACTTGGAGAGACATGCAACACATCGGTGAGTTTCCATGGCAATCAATCTATCAATAAATAATAGTCATTGTATTAAGTATTGTCTGTTAATTACGCGAATAGTACACATTTAAATAAAATAGTTTTAACCGTTTAAATTTATTACTTAACTTATTTCTAACTACGACCCGACGGAACTGTATTGCAATATAAAGTAATTTTTCTACGTTCCTGTGATCAATAAATAAATTTTTATTTGTAGCATATCAGATATTTGACCTTCTGTCTTAAAGCGATTCGAACTTAGGACCTCTTATAACGCAATCACGTTTACAACTTAACTAAACTACTCTTGTGGTTAAGTTGTAATTACTACTAATTATTTTGTTATATTCAATACGTTGTGTCATTTTGTATATATAGCAACACAGTTTTTACTTGTTCGTTCTATCTCAATTTAACACAAGTATATGTAAGATAATGTATGACGCTAAAGATGCGAGAAAATGCATCACAGTTTCAACAGAAAACGAAAATATAAAAGGTGACAAAATACACGTTTTACGAGTGACACAAAAATCTACGTCCGCTTCTAAAGCGAACGGCGAAGGAAAATAAAACGTTTGCAATTACAGCCATAACGCTTCTGACTTTCAACACGAAAAGAGAGAAATATTTTTAAACATCCACTCCAGTGTTTCCATTTGACTTAAGATCTATTTAACCATTCTCTCGAGGTAGATAAAATCGCCTTACCTTCTCAGCTGAAATGCTTTCAAAGAAAGATTTCGCACAAGATAAACGCTAATCCTATTTACTTTGCCGGTTCCGCCTGGCGTGTTACTTATGTGTGATAAAATAAAAGGCCGGAATAAGCCCTCAGATATCCGCTGTATGGAGCGGTTATTTTCAGTAATCAACGGCAATATCTGTTTTATCCAACTTCATCTGGCTTACTGGAAAAACCATTTTTCACGTAACCCACCTTTTTGTTCGATACAGAACGAATGTTAAAAATTTTAATAGCCCATTATTGTCATCATTTGATCCCTGTTTTAATATATTCCCGGAGTGCGTAATTGTACCACACTGTTTTACATAATGTCAAAATTTCAAATAACCTATTATTTCGCTCGTCAAATCTAATTATCTTTCGTTCATATTCAATAGTTATGGAATTTCCGGGTACGCGTATATGATCAATACTTACCAAGAACTAATTTATTATTGACTCTCTAGTCAACAATTACGACTGTAACTAAATGGTTAAAGGTGTTACCTAGCATTGCGTTAAGTGCGAAACGTAGGTTTAAGTGGGGAAACAATATATTGTTTTGAGCAAGGCACAGAAGTCTGATCAACTACTGGAACGTACTTCGAACCGATCAGAAATGTGATCACCCTACGCCCCACGGGGGAAAACGGGTTTTTATTTTACAATCTACATAAACTAAACAATTAACGTATAAATAACATGGACACTTTGGTTAAATTGACTATACCGTGACACCTTAGCCTTTAAATAGGTCATTATATATTCAAAGTTGAATGGATTCTACCGCACCTTGCGTTTAGTGCAACTAGGAACCTCTAAAGGTTAATTAGTATGTGATGCCTTTGACTTTGTACCTTTTAGATTTTTAAGTACCAAATAAATATTTAGTTACCAAATAAATTTTGCGATACCCTTTGCTCTTGGAAATATTTTAAATAACGCGACTGCCTAGTAAAATTTCAATTCCATGAAAATATAATATTACTGTTGCGGTATGCCTTTAATTTATAATTGGTAATGAAAGCGAAAAATAAGCTCAAATATTTCGATCACTTTAGTTTAATTATGTTCCACCCAGTTTTCAGAAACGAGATTTTAATGGTATTATTATTCCCATTTATCAATATTGATCTTTGTTTGACTTTTCGGCTTTAAAAGTTTAGTGTTTTATTTAAATTTGTACTACTCGCGTAAACTACAGATAGTATTTTTTAACATTTACAATACAACCACAGAGGTCGTATAGTAGAGACTACTTGTTACGTTTTTATTCAAAGCTCTGATTCTGACATTTTTATACAAACGTCCTTAAAACATATTTTCGGAGCTTCTACTGTGATAAAAATTACTTCATGGTCTTTTAGTTTATGTCGTATGTAAATTCTCATCAACAGTTGTACGAACTGCAAGACCTGAACGGCTCAGCACTGGTGGTGAATGGAGAGTCAATGGGGTCGGTCGCAACGTTTCCCACTCTTTTGGCTACGGGCTGCTTGATGCTGCTGGTATGGTCAGAATGGCTAGATCCTGGAGGACGGTCCCTCCTCAGAGAAGATGTGAACTAGCGGCTTCAATTCCTCAACGATCTGTGCCTCCTAAATCGTCAATTTCTATACGGGTTTGTTTATATTTTTTACATGTTATTTGCACATAATGGAACTATATAAAATAAAAATCGATTTAAAATGTAACAAACAACAAGACATAACGCAGTGGATGCCGGGGGTCGAAAAATGTTTTCAATCTAAGCCCGATCGTGAACTAGATCTTTATATTTAAATTAAAGCCTCCAAATACAAGACTTTTCTTTTGAGCCAAAAGACTTATCATTTATTAATAAAGAGTTTTGAATTTTTTTTCAAAGTTTTAAAGTTTGCAGCATCCATTTTTTATTTTGAGATAAAAATGATTCATCGCATATAGAACGACAAAAGCTCCGACAAGAGATAAAATACAAAATGGTGGGGAAATTACCTGCCTATATTGCACGTTAAATCTCGTTAAGCCAATTACAGCATAATGAACTTGGACTAGGAATTGTAAACGAGCTGATAAAATATTGTCAGCAAGATTTGCTGCAGTGCGCTACAATTTTATGGCTTTTATCAATCAGAGTTGCTGCACAAGTTTGGAAGATACAGAAATATTTTATTGGGTGTAAATATTAGTTGTTATTTTGTCTTAAAATTGCGATGTCAAGTAATAACATATAAGAAGAAATAACACGTTAAATTGGCTAATAGTAATTTTAAATTTCGTAGTAATAACTATTCATATAATTTTAAAACCACTTGATGTAAGGTGAAATACTTCGGATAAAATATGTATGATAGAATTCCTCTTTAAATGATCACAAAAATGTCGCCGACAGTACATAACTTTTAAGATTAACTTGCAATAATGACGGGAGGTGGACGAAGCCGCGGGCACAGCTAAAAATAATATAAGGATCTAAATAGAACGATTAGATTAGTTGAATATTTCGCCGGGGCAAAGTTCGAAATCGCCTCCTTAGTATTCCGGAATCGTATTTATGGATTTTCCTTAATTTAGTTGGACGTGGGAGCTTGTCCCGGGGTGAACTATTTAGAGCACGTGCAGGCGAGGGTCTCACTGTCAGCTGCTCGTCGGGGAGACTTGCGCATCGCTCTGACTTCGCCAGCTGGTACCAGGGTCACTCTCTTGACGCCCAGGTAAATAATTATCTTAGAAGAGAATAGAAAGATGTTTATTCAGAAACAACACGATTTACATTATATTATAAAAAGAGTAACAAATATAATATAATAAAACTAAATGCAGATACAACACAATAAGTAATATAGTTGCCTCTGAAAAGGAGACCACTCAGCTATGTTGGGATTAATGTCCCAATACTATAACAAAATAAGTACATTAAGATGGATGGATGGACGTTGTTTAGTTTACGCGAGTGCAAATATTTCAATTTAAAACCTAAACGGCTTAAAATGCGAAATATATCAGTTAAACTTATTCAACAATTATTTCAACTACGACGCGACGTTTTGGATGCAGCAACCGAGATCTCCCCATGAGCCCATTTTTTTAAAGTTTAATTAAGATATTTCACATTTTAAACCGTTAAAGTTTTTTATTTAATATGTTGTGTGAAATATAATTTTACTTGAAATTTAAACTATAATGTATTAATGAGTATTATTCCTTAATTCTGATGTTATTATTGGTCATTTTCTGACATAATACAAAATAGCTGTTTAGATTACGTAATAAAAAAGGTACTTCTTTAATAAGCAATGTAGTACAAACTTAAATAAAACTCTTTAACGGCTAAGAAGTCTTTATTAAATGTGTCCTACTCGCATAATATAATCTATGGACAATACTTAAAGTTCTCCTTTAAATCTCTCAAAAGGTTTTCTTTAATATAAAAATTTTACCTCACTGTGTATTACGCAATACGGATTGGAAACGCGTAAATGTGTCCCTGGCAACGCTAATACGATAAGCCGCTTTTACTAGCCCTTTTATATTACTGGCTTAATATATTTGGGATAAGGTATTAAGAATTGACATGCAATATGTTATTTCTAATTTACTAAAATGAGTTAATAGAGTGTTTTCTTCTAACAAACACGAAGAACACAAAATTGTCATTCAGCATTACTTTTTATTACTTCGTATGAAAGTAAAAAATACACACCCAGTGTTTTTTTTTTGGTGTCACTTCTTTTTTCACATTCCAGACTTCGCTATTATAAATGTTGTTATTGTATGATGTAATGTATTCTATAGCTATATATATTTATTGATAGGGGATGACAGACAAGCAACGATTTCATTTTGGATGTAAGGTGAAACACTTCAGCCATATAACATCTAAACAAGATGTGCTATCGGCCTATTTTGGTTATATACTCTATGTACTATATTGGAAATCTTTATAAAATTTTTCGCCTACTAAATCGCGTTGGTGAAAGTTATTGTTTAAATATACAAATAAAATTAATGGGCGTGTCTAAGCATAATTATGTCTAATTGCACGCTTTCTCGTCACAAAAGCATTACATAAAGGATATTAAAGTATTTTATTTATTTAGAAAACAGCTCTGTCCCTTATTATAAGGAAAACTAATATGTCAACTTCTTATTAATTAGGAAATCATCTTATAGAAATCTAAAGGTGTGTCTATACTCAGAGACAGTTCCTTACTTGAAGCTTTACGGTGAGAAACAGTGTCTTCTACAATACAACAAAAATACTTTATTCTTTTATATAGTGAGGAACTTTTTTATATTCCATTTAAACGTTAATTGCGAACACGAAAATAAATCAACATCATTTAACGTGTTATTATACAATGAAATTATTTTGTGGGGGAGGCAAAACCAATGTTACGTCTAGTCTCTGGGACGTAAAACAAAATTTTCGTACGCGTAGATTTAGCGGAGATGTAGAAATAAATCGGGACGGTCTATTAATATTACTAAAATCAAACCACTATACATAGTTAACCATGGCTAATGATCGATAGCGCATCTTGTTAAAATGCTATAGGCAGGGGTACCAGTACGCCTTTATCATTAAAAATCTGTATTATCCTTTAAAGTAACATACCAACTTAGTAATTGTATGTTGCTATAACGTAAGCTTATGTAATTACAACTCGTCGAAGCTAATGCCGAACGGGTAAGTTATGTTCGCAAATTACGCGATGGAGGTAGTAAGTGGTTCAGTGTATCACTGTTAACTGCGCATTGACTCGTAAAGCCGTTTCAAGTGACGCAACGCTTAAAATATAACACCTAACACTCGAATATGGGATTTGGGGATACTTTCACGGTTTTGTAGTCTTTATTAACGTTGTAGTCTCTTCCTTCGTAATTTTGTGTAAAATTCAAAAATTGTTTGGGTTTTTATATTGAAAAATACAATGGTTCAAGCGGGAATGTTACTGTTGTGTTCTAAGCTGTTGTTCTACCAACTAAGCTACTGTGTCCAGTTTGTGTTGAAGTTTTCCAATCTATTTGATCGATTGATGTTAAGATTAGATTATAATTGTATGAGTAGTCATTTATATATTACATAATTACATAAAATTATAATGCTTAAACATATTTTTCTGTTAACTTTAATTTCGAAGGAGACTTTTACGTTACATTTCAGTCGATTGTTCCGTGTTTGTTGTTCTAATTACTAACTATTTTATTATGTCATATTTATTACTATATGTTTGTGTATAATTATATTCTTATGTTCTGTTCAGTTGATTAATGCTTACACTTTATTAATTCTAGGGGTATTAAATTTTTTAAATAAATAATATGTTATTTACAGAAATATTTGTAACAACTACTAACAACTAGTAAATATCTATTCTAAATCTTTATTTAAATTAAAAATCTTATAAATACAACACATGCGGGACAATACGTAAGTGTTAAGATTGAAATTACGAGAAATGATTTTATCAATATCGCTTCGTTTTTTTTTTTTCACTGTAAATACTCCTTTAATTTATATAACGCCATTGTGTCATGTGGAAAATATTTAAGATTTCTTAAGCGAACCTTTGTTTCAGACCGCACGACACGTCACGTGCAGGGTTCAACTCGTGGCCCTTCATGTCGGTGCACATGTGGGGCGAATCACCCCTCGGAGAGTGGCTATTGGAAGTGTCTAATGAAGGAAGATATATGGGTATGCATGATCTCGCCACCTCTGCTTATAAATATCGCAAGCTAAAGAATCTCTACTACAATATTACAAGAGATCTACGAAAATCTTTAAAGTGATTATATAAAACATTTTAACGGCTTACAACGTGAAATATATTTGTTAATTTATTTTAACTACATCGCCCTGACATCGGCTGCACCGCTTTCGGGTCGAAAAAAATAAATTAAGAAATGAAAAAAATCGTGTTGTAAACAGTTGAAGAGGTTTATTGAAATGTGTACTACTCGCAAAAACTATAGACAGTTTGATGAATTTTAATCGACTAGATAGTTTCCGTTTGACACTAAAAAGAGAAATAGTGTATCCACGCATAAATACTAATCAAATTTACATATTAAACAATAAACTGAAGTTCAAATCTCTCCTGTAATCCATGAGTAAATCTCATGAATTATTTGAAACTATCGCAAACATTTCAACTCAAATACGATCGAAGAGAAATTACAATACAATTTAGTTACTAACACAGACTCAAGGGAGATTACAAACTTTATCGATTTCAACTTTGAAGCCTCCAAAGCGTTAGCTATAAATCAAGATCTCTCTATACTTGGGTGTCAATTCTATCACAATCGAATTTAAACTTTTATCCGACAAATTCGGAAAATTGAATTTCTATTTCGATATCTTAGGTCGAGCGACATTACAAGAGTGGTCGTTAACTTTATACGGAACGAACACGCCGGCTGCTAAAAACGATCCTATACCGTTCAGAAATCCAATAATACGTAAGAGTAACGCGACTCGACCGGTCGTGGTGCAGCCCGGTCGAAAGAGTAACAAAAACAAAGCGGTCCCGATAGTGCCCACGTACACTGTGGGACTTGTGAAGCGGAAAAAGAATAAGAATTCCAAGAACCCCAACAGGAATATGCAAAAATCGAAACAGAGCCGTCCGGCGACTCGTTCGCCTATAGAAATCTCGACGTTGCGAACGTCCAGCGCGCCAGATTTGAGCATGAACCTGCGGGGTGACCTGACGGACCCCCTGGCGGACGTCAGAGGACGCAAGATGTCAAGTCTGTTCGAGCAATATCCGAAAATCCAGCGAATATACCCGGCGCCCCTGCAAGCGAACGGTACCCTGCATGTTGTCCGTTTTGCCGAGAGCGTTTTATTTCAGTTGTACGAACATGCACGTCAATTACCTTTGTTCTACATACCGCAATAGCATGTTGTGTTCGCAATGTTTTTTTAATTTTTTCCCCACTGGAAGTTTCATTAGGAAGTTTCGTCTGACGTTGCGTTATTTTTTTATTTCTGCTTACCTCGATAGAGGTTTCATCGTGATTTTCGTTTCAGATTTGCATTTTGTTCTCCTTTTTTATTGTTTGAGTTGTAATGAGTGAGCCTAGACCAGCCTACTAATTGTTTATTTTTCTAAGTAGAAAGCTATCGCTGAGTTAATGAACGTAGCGCATTTGATTTATTTTAAGCTATTATTTACATAAATTTACATTGAGGTAGCCTTAAACACACTAATTGCATGTTGTATAAATTGAATTTCGATTTAATGAAAAACATTTATGAGGCAAAAAACTACGTTTTTATTGCAAAACAAGACTATCTGATACTAAAATTGGCAATGAGATTTACAAAAGGCCAAAAAAATCTTGAAAAATCACTTCGTCATGAAATTTAAATCACAATATTTCTATTGGTTCAACAGTTATTCAACTAACGACACTGTCATCCATAATAACAGTCATATAGACACAGATTATATTGGTATTTTAATAGAACTATAATTTTGTCTCATTAAAATAACGTGAAATTTTCAAGAATTTACAATTCTAAACTGCAATTCCTTACTAACATAAACTTTGCTTTACAGCGGGACCTCTAAGTCAGTGGGAGCTGATATTCTATGGGACAGAAACGCCACCTCAAGAAAATGACGCGTCTCCCGAAATCACACAACCGTCTGGTGTACCCGATTGGAGTAGAGCTCACGACAACGTTCCTGTACCCCAAGATCCACCCGAGGAGATCAAACATAATTCCATAGACGATGATTTGGCTCTCGTGTGGCATGATTCACATGCGGTAAGCTATTTATTTGTTTCTATTGTTTTTGTATTTGAACCATGACCGTCTCGTTGGTCAAGCTCTAGGAGATCCATGGTTCGAGTTCTGGGTCAAATGAATTATCAGTTTGGTGCTTTTTTAAGATACCTCCGAACTAGTTCTGCTTAAGAGGTGTCATTATCTCCGAAACCCTTATAACCTTTACCATCACAAATTTTGTGACGGTAGGCGTTCAATCCGTCACCACGAAGCAGCTTGGTTCATCTTAAACTGTCTCTCATAATAGAGTAAATTAGTGCCAATCAGTAAGACCTAAATAGTTATGACTATAGTAAAAAATTAAGCTCTAATAATTTGCAAACATATATTTTACTTAGCCTTATTACAAAGACATTCTTTTTTATTTCATATATTAAAGACACCCAATGATTCTGATAAAGTATTTTCAATTTGAACGTTTTATTTATATTAGAGAATACAATAAATCTTCTTAAAGGGCACGCTATAAAGTGTAATCGGTTAAGTGCAGTTCAGTTGAAACTAAAGACATTGGTCACGAGTCTAGAGGTTTTATGCGATACTGCTGTCGTTCGCACCATTTACTACAGAAATAACTCGCAGATAATAGCAACTGCCTTTGTCATTTTTATGTATTGTTGCACTACATAACTTTTTATTACACAATACAGAGACAATTATAAAAACAAAAGAGAAATTTAAAATATAAAGGTTTTCGGGCTGTCTTATAAAAAAAACTACTTTAACGGTTTAAAACGCGATATATTAGTTAAACTTATTTGAAAATGATTTTTAACTTCGGCCCGACGTTAAAGTGTTTTATTTAAATGTGTACTACTCGCGTAAACTATAGACAGTATTTAGTTTGTTTTCTTATTTATTTACCTTTTTTTATTTTTCAAATAAAAATCTAAGATTATTTCAATTATTATCTCAATAGAAATATTATTTCGGAAAAATTGTATTATTTTTTATTTTTGTAGATATACAATGCAATAAGGTTATTAGCAATCGAATCGAATTGATGTTTTTTTTTCTGGTGCATTTATGAAGTATTATACTCGTATTAAAACTAATGTTTTCTTAACTTTTTAATAATTTTCTTTTGGTATAGATATTTCGAATGTTCTAAGGCATGGATACAACAAATGCGGTACGATTCTAATTAAACACATTTTATTAACTTCAACGTTTTAACCGTGCCTAAAATATATTTAATAACTTGAGCTGCGTACTCACCTAAAATATTTTTGTAAACACTAATATGCGTAGACACGCAAGAGCTAATTTGAAAACTATTACTGAATCGCGTGTCTAATACTTCCAAGTGAGTACCTAAATTAACCTCTCTAAATAATAAGAACGTTACACGATAACCATTTAGAAATTATGTTATTGCTAAAAGTTTTATTTCATGTCAGTATCTAAAACTCCCAAAACGTAATTAAATAACATCATTATGTTTTACGAGTTATTTATATTTAAATAAAATATTTTAACGGTTTAAAACGCGCTATATAACGTTATAGAATTTCGGAGACGGCTGCTGCAAAGCATGTGAAACGTCGGGCCGTAGTTAAAATATTTTTCAAATAAGTTTATATATCGCGTTTTAAACCGTTAAATTGTTTTATTTAAATGTGTACTACTCGCATAAACTACAGACAGTATTTAAGTTATTTGTAGTTTTGTAAAAAAATATATTTACTTATTACTACTATATCAATTAACTTAAAAAGAATTGGATGACACGGACGGACATAGAACCCATGACCACAGCGATTGATGCTGATAGCTTTAATTACCAATAGTATCAATTGAGCTCTGCTAGTTATCCAATTTTTTTATAAAAAGTAGTTCGTTAATTACGTCCTGACTTATTTATATTTAATCGTTGATTGTTTTCAAAAACTATTCACTTAATTAATGTTTTAATTTAACTTATGAAACCCACAGATACGCGAAGAAAGTCCAGTCTTCAATTCGAACAGCCAAGCTATTGGCAGCGGGTGCGCGACCCACGCAGTTCAAGCACCACACAGATGTTTAGGTTTGTGTTTACTAATGTTCATAATACTTTCAGCGACCAACGCTTTTTTTCAACCAACACTAACAGCTAATATAGGGAACGCGGGCATAACTTCGCGGAATAGATAGGTAGAGTCACAGCACAATCTTTTGTCTTCGTTTTGGTTACAAGGGCGTGAGATGTTTCACAAATGAGTTATGTCTTAGGATGTATCCTATAAGCTTTCGTGTTTTGTTAAAATTTGAGATCATTTGACTGTGTCGTCCATTGTTTTTTTTTGTTGGGGCTGATGCCAATATTCACATGGTAAAGTCATTTATAATTTACACTGCAATTATATTTAACAAAATATTATTATTAATGTTAAAAGTTGCTTTTTAAACACCATTTGAATATTTGTGTCCTTACATCTACTGGTTAAGAATAGTATTTGTTAGTCTTAAATGCTTTGATCAAAACTGTTCTGTCATTAAATACTGTCTATAGTTTACGCGAGTAGTACACATTCAAATTAAACACTAACGGTTTAAAACGCGATATATTAGTTAAACTTATTTTAAAATGAGTTTTAACTTTGGCCCGATGTTTCAAATAGGTTTAACTAATATATCGCGTTTTAAACCGTTACAGTGTTTTATTTAATGTTCTATCATTAGCAATATATATTTTATTTTAATAAGCCTTACAATTAAATAAGACTTAACTCTCACTCCCTTTTGACCTTGAGGCTCGTGATCTAGTTAAATGTATAATTTATAATAAGTACAACAATGTTAATTGATTTCTTTAATATTATTATATTCGTAACAAATTGTTTGGAACTGCCGCGTCACCTTTCCAGTACTTAAGCTATTAAATAAGCTACTGAAAAGAAATTTGGACGATAATTTAGTAGCGCTCGGAGTCCGGAAGCTTCGACGGGAAAGTTTTTGTCGTATTTTATCCTCGAGTAATATCTTTTAACATTTTAATACCGATAATGTACTCCAATATTTCGGACTTTGTTCTCGTCGCAGCTATTCAAAAGTACCCTTGTAATAAATGAGATGTGTTCAATTTTATTTACCTTAGATAGCGGATACTTTTGAATGCCTGAGGCTAAAAACCACTGTTCATGTCCAAATAAACGTATTTTGTAATATCTGCAAAATTTAAGAGCTAGGAACAAGTGCAATTACATAATTTAATATTGTGTATTTCAAGAGACGTCCATTTTGCTTGAATGAAGGCCACTTAAGGGAGGCTAAGAGATAGAGGACATTAAGAGAGTAGATATGTAACGTTAGCACCTGTACATTAAAATAATAGATACTCTGTGGTACTTAATACGTAAGAGGCTTACATTTTATTGGTGTCATCGTCATATTTATTTTTATTTCTTGTTTTTTGATTCATTTTATTGCAATGTATGCCATACTTTGAAGAGATGAAAGAACGATCATCATAATGTGAAATAGGGCATAATAATAACGTCACGTTATATTTAGTTGTTTTAAGTGAAGATAAGTAGTCAATGTCAAAAACTATTGGTTTTAATTTGAGCTGTCAAACATGTTTTTTTATTAATCACAATGTAATTAAAATCAAGAACAGACAGACATATATAAAGTGGATTCTATCTGTAGTTTACGAGAGTGATTCACATTAAAATAAAACACTTTGACGGTTTAAAACGTGATATATATTAGTTAAACTTATTTAAACATTATTTTTAACTTCGGCCCGGCGTTTCAGATGCTTTTCAGCAGCCGTGGTCACGGACGGGGAGCCGCGTATATCGCGTTACAAACCGTTAAAGTGTTTTATTTAGATATATAAAGTGACTCAAATATAACTTGCAGCAGCTTTTCAAACCTGAAGACAATTTGATCTTAACTGCTTCATCCATTTGTTATAATTTATCAAGGAACGTCTTAGAGAATTATTAAGTTTCATATATTTTACAATAGTCAAATATACAATTATATATTCCAGTAGCGATAGAAGAGTTAACGATTAAGTCGTATCAAGGAAGGATTTTTATTAAAGATGGCTTCCTAAACGGTTATAATTGTTACAAATTGAAATGCTGAATCAATCTGTTAAGTTTGTAGACACAAATATTTGCCATAAACCAAATAACGGATTAATACGATACCAAATGTTAACGCATTTACATGTTTCAATCAGTTCTATTATGTTTTATGAAAATTATATAGTGTTAATCATTGATCTGGTAGCGCTATGAGGATATTTTGTGTACCACGCTCAAATTAATGAATTATTTTAAACTTTGTAACTTGTAGTTAACATATTTATTTAAGGATGACGTAAAATATCTTCAGCGCGCTGTGGAATCACACATATCGTTTACAATAAGTCTAAGGGGTATTTGTTAGTTTGAATAAAGTTAATTCGATGTTATTTGTAGGCATCTTTGTGACAGCCTGTAAACTTATGAAAGTTTTAGCGAGTATAACTACTCAAATTCTGATAGAGTATCTTTTACAACCAAGTTTAACTCTGTAATTACAACAAACGTGAACATTCCAAATTTTACAATTAAGAAAACTATTGGATTTTGTGAATTAACTCGACTTTGAAGTAAAAACTCATTATCTATATCACAATCTATAATCTATTTCAGAAGTTAACGGAGCACTTTTGGGTTAGTTTTTGTTCGTGATTGCTGTAATTACGTAGCGTTTAACTTCCTTGGAATTTATCTTCAAAAGCCTAATAATTTGATGTACTTATGAACGAAGATCAAAAAAACTTCGTCATACTTATGTCATGGCCGTTTGCAGATCAAATAACGACAGCACAAAAGCACTTAACACCGTGGCAATGTCAATATATCAGTCCTTTTAAGAGACTATTTTTATATCAGCGGTCTTGGCAGATTTATAAAGGATGGGTGTAGAACTATTGAACGGTCGGGTTTAAATTGCGATCGTGTATCAACCTTAGTTGAACGTGACCCTCGCTCTATTTTCAGAAACCTCGAATTACATTTTTCTTACAAAACCTTTTTTGTTTTTCTACTCAGATTTTAATTTATCACGAAGTTTCTTCCATTCGATCTAAGGTTCCCGAACTCCTTTTCGAAGTAACTCGATAATTTCCCAATGTTTTCCAAATTTAAATTATAAACGGCTCTTTTAAAGGTTGTTAAAGATTATTTTTAAAAGTAAACAGGCTGTTATAAAGATTTAACAAATGTAACATTAGCTCCAAAAACATAATAATAATTAGGTTAATTACATTTCATAATGTGGTTGTGATCATACTGGTGATGGCCAATCCATAAAAATATGAAAATCAACTGTACATAATAAGTAGATATTATGGAAAATAAAATTTGGAGACTTGTACAAATTGCTCACAATTGTAAATTTTAAAACGACTGATCGATCAAGATTTCTCATCGACTGGTAGTTAGAGTAATGTTATTGATAATAATTATGTAAAAATTGCCTAAGATTTAGAGCTAGATAAGGTAGTACTAAAACCGCTGTATCGTCTCAATTAACTATCGCTCGATGTTCTAGAAATCACTAAGAGATCCATTTTTTATAACAATTTTGCTGTATACATGTAAAATTGTTCACCAATTATTATCGGCGTTAAGTAGCTTAAACCCCAATAAATTGTATTTATTAATGTAAATGTTACAATTGTATATATTGAACGTGATGTGGATGGATATATAATAAAAAAAACTTTTATTACAAAATTAATTAAGATTTTCATTTACAGTAGAGTCTTGTCTCTGATCTATGTGAATCGGCAGTTAGTTCGCGTTACTTCGTTTCAAACTGACGTTATTTTGTTGTGTTTTAGATTAATATTACTAGCGCTTTAGTTGTATTTTGTTTGTTGCATGTTTCGCTTCGCTTTATACGTGCTTAACATTTAAAGTAGTACTATCCGCTTTCTCCTTAACTCCCACTATTAACTATTATTATATTTATTTCCAAAATAATATTAATTATACTTATATTTCCTGATTTCATTTAATTTTGTGCACGTCCTTTTCGGCATGCTGTGAGCACCTGTGACGTCTGTTTGTTTTAATCAACTCAAAATTGTATCGAAAACAAAATTATCTGAGATCAGTGGCGAGATTTTACTAAATATTTCCTTTCAACTCCTGTTTTCATTGTCTTGTCTTCGAGCTGGTTTGTTCGGATCTTCTGCATCATATCGAGAAGCGAACGCATGGAGGCTGGGACGGTGCCGGTTGGTGTCGGAGTGTGTCTCTTTGTCCCATTTATTGATATTCCTGTTCTCTCTCCCACTAGAATGCGCGAAGGGTTTGCACTTGTACGACGGTAGATGTTATCTGCATTGTCCGGACGGTACTTACGCGGGGGAAATCTTGGAGCGAACTTCGAGACGACGGAACCTCACTGTTCTGGAGACGGGCCCGGCAGTTATCAAGAGGCAGGGTGACGTCACGGCTTCGGAAGCTCTCGATATGGAACCGAATAACTACACGACACCTTTGATATGCCTTCCTTGTCACTATACGTGTGCTACATGTGTCGGGCCCCACAACAGCCAATGTTCCTCTTGCTTGGACGACGCTCAAATTTATAACCTCACAGATGTCGAACCTAAGTTCTATTGCTATCCAAATATAGTATTACCACAGATCAGTGACGCGAACTGGCATTACCGTGTGAACGTGATCCTCTCCATCATTTTGTTCTTCAGCGGCTTGATAGTCATATATACGGTAAATACTTGCTGGAAAAAGACGTTTGGTAATAACTATAAGGATAATATAAAGGTAGCTTACCAAGAGTTAGCGGTAGATGATAAGCATCATAGCGCTTTAGAGATTGAGGAGGAAATCAAAAAGGCCATAATTAATGCAAGCGAAAGTGAATCTGAGGACGATTTGCGTTTATAGCGGCTGTTAACATTCAATCGGAATTATTACGAATTCAATAGTGATTTAAGTGATTAATGAATTTATCCTGGGCTCTTTGCGATTTGATACGATCGCATCCTCAAACTCTTGCAATTTATTGATGAGAAATAACACGATTTCGATTTTTGGATTTATTTGTGCAAAAGTATTATAGCCAAAGACCAAATTCACTGCATAACTTGGTAATAATAGTAGCTTGGTATATAATAACTCTTTTCTTTTTCAACAATCGTATTAATGTTAAGTAACATTTCAATTGAACTAGTTCTTATTGAATTACATTCCATTTCTTTATATGTTACGAACTTAGAAAGGATTTTATACTTTTTTTTTTACAATTTTATCTATAACTTCGCTACGTAATGAAGACTACGAATTTATTACAATAGAACTAAAAGTTTTATAGTGATTTTACACCGTCCACTACGTTTTCTGTCCTTCCTCTTATTGTTTTATTTACGTAATAAGTTTTAAGATAAATAACTCAGTGTGATGCATTATACTTAATAATAACTTGCTCAAGTGGCCATTTAGGTAAGTAGGCTGAGCTTTCACGGTGTAAATTATATTTTGTAAATAAATAAACCAGTTCCTATTTGAAGTATCGTTTTCTTTAGCACCACCTTCCATGACACTAGGATTTTAATGTTAAGTTAAATAGATTACTACAATTTTTAAAAACTATACGTATAAGGTTTTCGCGACCATTTTGAAAAGCTACTTGGTTGGTTTTCACGCTGTTTCTCAGTCGAGGATCGTGCTACATTTTCTGGTAGCGAAACATCGAAAATCATTTCTCAAGTATAAATGATAAACAGATTGAAAATATAAGTAGCTATTAAGAGTGTATTCGTGCAGTTGTCTTTCCTTTATGTCCAAACTAAAGAATCAATCAAAATATATTTGACTTTGACACAGCTGGAGGCACGGAGAGCATATACCAACTTTAAATTCTAGAGAAAAACTACATTAAGTAGTAAGCAAAATTTTTCACCTTTAAAGTAAGCAGTAACCGAAACCGCAAGAATAGACAAGTTTAATAAATCAGTTTAGAATAAGTACGTTGTTCTGGCTTCATAGACTATATTCCTCTATGCCTTTTCCTCTCACTCTATTGTCTGTATGTCCCTCTTCCGTGTTTACGGTTGTACGAGCCTAAGCGCCGGAATGACGCACGAGCTTTCATTAGAAGCAGCAGCCATCGAAGTTGCTGGAATTAAACAATTCGGTGTACAGGAAGGTTTGATTCTGTAGTGTTTTTACGACAGCAACAAATCAAGAAAGAAAGATCCCCGGCCGTGAGACAGGCACCGTCAATCGTAAACGTAAGTCCGTTTATTTAATACCTATTGCCAGTTTATGTGGGCCAGAACACTCCTACCACCTTTTTAAGTGATCATAGGATACCTAATCATATTTAACAATAGAGTCCTCCCTGGAAGCCTTCACTTTTAAAAGTCCTTCCATACGTTTTGAAAATTCAATGTATAGGTATTTATGTAAAATATTGATAACGTAGGAAATGCCACCGGGAATTGTGGAGGGAGGCTAAAATATGCGTGCCACAAGCGATCAATAGAGCTAATGTATTGGGCTTTCTATTGCCCTTGTCAGAATAAATATTACTGGATGAGTTGTTCTACTCAAGAACGCACTCAAGCACATATTTCAAAGATATACTTTTTAATTCTCTTTGGAACACATTGACTTTAGACTGTCTGTGTTGCCTTGATTGGGCAGGGCACTTCTAACTTTAAATATTTAAAGATTTATTTATTAATTATTAAAGATACCCCTTTTCTGAGCATACAATTTTGAATGTTCACACTCGTATATTATATTCAAAGAACATTTACTCCCCGCATTTATTCTAATCTATATCTATACATATAAAACTGAAGAGTTTGTGAGAAAACAAACTGACGGCGACAAACCACGAGCCAGCCTAGCCAAGAAACAGAGGGAAAACATTAATCTTAAAGAGTTTCCATTGTGTACGCTGCGTAAGAGTTCAAGAAAAAATTCCGCGACATATACTGTCTATTTTTTAAGATTATTTCACTTGAACGACGAGCGGCTTCATGGGTAACAGCTATAATTTATAAAATAAAGGTGGTTGTTTACAAAAATTAATAATAGCCCGAAATAACTATCCCACACGAACGCAAGTCGCAGGCGCAGCTAGTACAAATTAAATATTAGCGCATAATATACAAAACGGGATCTAGTCCATTTTATTTATATCCGTTATTTGTCGCAGCCCCTATCTGGATTTACCTCGGAAATTCGAGATTCCTCCCAAAAATGCCAATAATTACACAGGCAGGGGAGTGAAATATTTTACGCACCCTGTAATTTATCCGACCCCTCTACATAAGCCGGGTCCAATTTCGCGAAGAAACGAAATAACATTAGAGAGTAGCCATTCAGAAATAAATGAGCCTGTTTATTTTTCTAATACTCAACACTGCTATTTGGCGATTCAAAGCGTTTATCGATTTTAAACATCTTCGTATGTAACTTTGTTAAAAAGCATTTTTGGTTTTCGTATAAAATAGCACCATATAGTTACTTTTCGAACGTTAGATAACTTAAGCCGCCTAAAAAGTAATTTTAAAAAATATTTTAACGGTTTAAAACGCAAAATATATATGTTAGCTTATTTTTTATTTATATTAACTAAAAAGTTAAAAAAATAAGTTTCACGTTTAAAACCATTAAGTGCTTTATTTACAGTACACATAATAATAAACTACAGACAATCCTAAAAAATATATCATCATACAGGTTACAGGTATCATTTTACTGTGAACAACCTTAGACGGCCTTCACTCAAAGTCAATTTTCCACAAGGACTATACCACATTTTTACAACTAAGGTTATTTTATAATTAAACTGAATAGTGATGCATGATGGTATCGAGAAATGTTCGCTGTATATTTATAACGTATTACCAAAAGACAGGTGTGGGTTTCGAAGGGTTTGATCATAAGATCCCTCGTATAGGGGCCACATAGCTGAACTATTATGATCCTCATCGTAGGACCCTTCATTTATTACATAGCTGGGTTCCTGCAACACATATTCTTATATATTAAGCGGCAAAGCCGAATCTTTTGTTTTGTTCTGTGACGAAACTGTTAATATGGTTGTGGTCTATTATATTTTGTCCCTTACAAAGCATCCCCAACATCAGGCCGTAGTTAATGTTTCGCGTTTTAAACCGTTAAAAGTGTTTAATTTAAAATATATCAATTCATTATTATGTCACAATATGTTGAAAAGCGAAATACCACAGCCATGTAGCATCCTCAAGATGCGATGTCGATCTTGGCTTTGGATATTCAGAAATCACAGACGAAAATCGAATCGCGAATAATCTTCACAGGTTTTCCTCTATAGACAGTGGTTCATGGCGATATGGAACATGTTTCTAAAATAAATTCTGAATAGAAGCACATTGAAGCGAACCAACGATCAGTTTTAAAAGCTCGTCGAAATTATATGTTAATATGTATATCGGGATATGTTACATAAATACTTATGTTTTAGCAACCCTTACAAAGATTCACAGCAATAAGTAATTTTAAAATTGAACCTCTTTATCCCTTTGTGCATAATATGAACACAGTTTTGTGTCCGTTTCGCTGGGCAACGTTGTTTACAGACTGCATGGACTTTAGTGCCCTGCCATACCTGAATTAAACCCAATTCCACTTGCAATTAACGCATTGTACTAAGTTTAATTCACTATTGAGGCGCGCTCTAGTAGCCATTATTGTTACTAATATTTGGACAATTTGTTAGAAGCAAGAACAACATTTAGGTATATAGCAAGTTTTGGGTTTTCTAATGCACATTTTGTTAGAATTCGGTCTGTATATTGTAAATTGTGTTGTGAGTTAACTGTAGCATGGCAGTACAGTAAAGTTAGACAATGACGCTACAGACAAAGTTTCCTAATGAATTAGAGACAACAGACAGAACTGGACTCGAAATACAAGTTAACATTATTACTACCTGAATAACTTTAAATTGAAGGTATTTTAGGAAGTTCTAAATTAAACATAAATATATTTTACAATACTCGAATACGGATAGCTCCTTTCTCAGTTTGAAAGCACAAGTTTGACACTTAAGTAAAACACTTAACCATTTAAAACGCGATATATTTTAGTTAGATTTGTGTCAAAATTATTTTCACTACGGCCCGACGTTTCGGATGCTTTGCATCAGCCGTGGTCACGGGGAGACCAAAGATGAAAGATGTCTCTAACGTCAAAGTATTTAAACTGCTACGCTAGCGTCTTCTGTTCTGTCGAAGTTGGTATTTGGCGAAACTGGCCGGGTCCGTGCTAAAATATATCGCGTTTTAAACCGCTAAAGTGTTTTTTATTTAAATATGTACTATTTGCGTAAAAATTTTACGGTTCGTGGGTTCGGTTCGGTCGTAAATCTGGATATTATTAAATGGGTGGTAGGAATATCAAAATTCTGCCGGGTCCAGATGAAAAAGCCGTGTTTAATCGCGCTACGGTTTCAGTCTGTGGATTTCCGAATATCCAAATCAAAAATAGGTGGAGAGCGCATCTTGTATAGATGTTATATAAATGATGATATCAAAAGTGATCATAAATTGGAAAAATGTAAGGACAGGACTTGAACCGGCATTCTCAGCATTCTGTGCTGTTGCTCTAACGAACTGAGCTACCGAGTCTCGATACGCTGTGCACGATGTACCTGCTCTCTACACAATACAAAATCTCGCCCAACCCGGAAAGTCATCATATATATCGCCAATATGTAAAAGGCGCACCATATGTATTTAATATACCATTACAAAAACATCGCAAAATACAGCCCTCAATACAATTTCTGTGAATTATATTTTTCAATAGAACTCAATAAAAAATATAGCACCGATATAAAATCGAAAATGCTTTAAATTTCGTGAACCATAAAATTGCTTTATATAAAA